TGAAGGCCTGGGACCAAGTACTCCATGACGCCCATTAACATTGAAATCCCTGTCTGTTGGTTGAGGCTCGACCAAACCCTCTGATGCCCTGAAAGAAATGGCATGCACACATCAGAGTGGGTAAAGTTATTTGTGTATTTGAAACTTGGCTTACATTATTAAATATTTAAGATATGGCTAATTTTAAAAGCAAAAATGTAGAAAAAGTAGCATTTCACATAGATATCCTAGTCTTAATATGTAGGATTTGAGGTTCTCATGCCATTGAGTATGAAGACGGCTGTCTTCTGTGTTGTTGTGCTGTGTAGTCTGATAGAAGTTTGCCAACATTTCAGACATCCTTGCTGCCTCCATCATCAGGGTAGTAATGAGGCATACAGATATAACTTCTGATTAGTATATCCAATTACCTGCAAAATGTTTATCGTAAAATTTAAATCTGGAATGCAGGAAACAAACCTTCTATTAACTACATCTGCTGGTACATCGTCCTCCTGAGGTGGAACCCTCACATTGGCAGTGCTGAGCCGTATTCGCAATGGGATATTCTGTGCGTGATAGGAAAATGTTGGTCTACTCGACACAGGATTTCTTCGGCTGAAGACGACTACCCGCTGACCAATCTAGGCATATGACACCAATTGTAATAGTTTTCTTTTATAATACAGTACATCTGTGTGTCTCTCATAACTTACCTCACTCCCTGGGGCCTTACGCATGTTAAATACATGGTAATTTACTAAAATAGTAATACAAAATATTGGTATGTATCTGTCTACATAACTGTACATGTATACAAGAAGTGTAATTGCATTTACCACTGTTTATAACATATATTAGTGAACATCCATACTCTTCCTAACTGATTGTATTATCTCATCTAAATTTGGTGAAAGCAGCACCTTGCATGCAGGATGACACCACATGTAAGTTGCAGCCCACTGGAGATTCCTCACAGGAACTTCCCGCCATGTCCAAATTGGATCAGTCAGTGAAAGCAGCCACACGTCACTGAACATCATATTTGGTCCTCCACAGCCACCTGAAGATGGAAATTTATTCCAAGGCTAAGTTTTTCTACAAAACTACTTCAGTCCACATCAGTTTGCCTTTTGCTGCAACATTTGACTTTACTACAAACCTTAAAGAGCACGGTAATTTGGTCTACGTGGCAGTCATCTAGTTGGAAGTACATAAAAGTTGCTCAGCTGTAGTTGCAGCAACACAATTTGGCGAGTTAGCAGTATTCATTTTATTCCAAATTTGTTTCTAATATCATACATATGCTAGATATTATAAAACTTCAATATATGTGCAGTAAGAGTTTAAACTTACATGATATTTGCAACATACGTGATATGTTGATGTCAAATCATAATTTATCTTTGAGGGGTAAATACTAGTCAGTATATTACGTGACAAAGCATACTATTAACTTCTCAATGACTGCTCCATGGAGTTAGTTGGGTGTTCTTAAACATTATGATAAAAATATTTAAAATATTCCATATTTATAATTTCATTTCTTTTAATGATACAAAATTCAGAGTTTACCCAGTATTAGTACATTTCTGTCATCAAGTGAGATTTGGGACTGGCCATATCTACAAAATGGCTTCACGTCTGTGGTAGTTTGCTTATTCCATGTTTGATTTTCCAAGTTGAAACACCACACATCATTGGAACTGCAACAAAATTTTACATCCCAAATACTAAATGTATTTTCTTGTTCCAATATAGTAATATCTATAACAACTTTGCAGTGAGAAATCCAGATACCGTAGTTGTGAGGGCAAGTTCAGTTCTGTAAAACTGGAACCCTCTGACGAAGGAAAGGAATATTAACAGAAACAGATCGGACTCTTCAGTTGTGGTGAAAGCAACTCATCTAGGAGTGGAAAACCCACATCTTCCAGGTAAGGGGTTTTATAATGGGCTAGAACACCCATTTATAAACAATTTCAAGCCTTAACAAATTATGACAAACTGCAGTGGTAAAGGCTAACTGATATTACAAAAAGGATTAACTTGTGTAAATATGGTCATAAAAAACTGTTCACCTTCCGCATTGCCCTAATAAGACATTAGTTTTCTGGAGTCCACCAAATACAACCATCAGTTCTCCCTGAATTGTGGCTGAGTGACCAGCCATGGCAGGAGGAGTAGTTGGTGTGTTGATGCATGCCCACCTATTGGACACAATGCCATAAACATGAAGCTCACTGAACAACCTCCATGCCTGAAAATGTAAAATGAGTGGATATAATATTGCAGTTAACTACCTAAGGTGGGTTGCAGTGGACTTGTTCTAGAAGGTATTCTGTACCTGATGAAGTGGGTAAGGTGATGGATGTGACCACCCACCAAATAATATAAGTGCTTCTTTATAACATACAATAGAAGCACATGCCTTTGGTGAAGGATAGGTTCCCATCGTCAGTGGTCTAACCCACTGTCGTTTGTTAAGATCAAGCCGCCACAAATCATTAAATGTAGTACTAGTTGTAGTACAACCTCCAAAAACGTACATGGAATTATCTGTAACAATTTATAAGGTATGACATTTCTAATACATATACATAATTACATGAATTTGTAATATCTGTGCTACTTACCATGACGACATGCTGAATGAGAATACCGTTTGGTGATCGATGGAGCCATTTCAGCTGGGGTTATGTTCTCCCACCTGATATTGAAGTCTACTATTGATCGATGCAAGAATTTCTGTGCATGGCGAATGACGTCTGTCACATGCAAATGTAAGACAATCCTTTTAATTCAAATCAATTAAATTGATATGAAGTATCGTTAATATAGCATGTTACTACTTACTTTTGACACTTCGATGCCACCTTTTACATACTAATGAACATTCTTGCAAATCCTTGTATGGAGCAACTAAACTAAGAATATACTCAAGCACTTCATCAGGTAGATCATCTACTGTGCTTTCTGATCTGATGAATGAACCAACAGGGGGATATGAGTTCATGTTGCTCTGATTCAAACTTTAGTAACTCGGTGTTTCAACAGGTTTCCAGCAAACTACCGACTCGAGCAACCTTAACCACCATTATTGAACACATCATTATGCTGACACCTAGCGACAGAAATCAGAACTAAAAGACGGCTGCTAGTTCTGAATATGGATCATTACCGCGTCATTTTGATTTTGTGCCCTGTTCTTGTTTGTCATAGGTTTTCATAATTCATAAGTCTCTGAAGAGAGCGTTAGCTAAAAATTTAATTAATTTGTTTTCGTGTGTTAGAAGCTTTTACAGCTCAGTACGGAGAAAGCGGATGAGTCAAGATCAAGCAGTGTCCTTCATGTACTCAGCTACTTGACATTTCTGCTATACGTGAAGATCATCAAATTTCTAAATTCACCGAGACCCAGAAGATAAATAAAGCTTTGCATTTGTTTTAAAGACTAAGAAGTTTAGCAGAACTGTCCATAATGTCCACTATAACTCAGCTGAATCCGTTTATAAGCAAATTCTCGAACTTCCGGGTTTTTATACCATTAAGGAATGTGCGGTTATCAATGCCTCAGAAGGTAAATTATATGCATAACTGTTCAGTGTATTTTATATATGTACTGTTTTATAGTATAGTGTCACCACATTTATTAAAGTGTAAAGAGCTGTTTATCTTGGCTATGCCTTTATCGAATGATAGGTGTCACCAACATCTGATGTTTTAGGTTACTGTGCTATCCGTCACAATAGGTGTTGTATTAATTGGACTTCTGGCTCGATACCTACGGCGAAAGAGAAGAACTGTATATCCAGGACTATTTAGAAGAAATGGGAAAAGACTTGCAGCATCTTCTCAGGGTGCAAGAAGCCCAAATGGAGGTTAGTAATGTGAGACTTTGTTAGCATATTAAATGTATGTGTATAATTTCATCATATTGCTTCTAGCTGTTTTAGAAGCATGTAGCCTTGATTTTGTAATTAACACTGTGGTAGAAACCTAAGATTCAGAACTGCTGATATCACTTTGTTGGTTTTATTAGTAATATGAAATAAGAGTCTGTTCATGAATGTGTAGCACTTCATTACTGACATTAAGGGGGTCTGTGGTTTCATACCAGTTTTGTTTATTTATATAATTTATATCACTAAGTGAAGGCAGTATTTGATGCTTAGGCTTTGAATTTTATGGTGCCAATTTTATGTAAGCTTATTCTTTACAGTACTCATTGTACACAATTCTTCTATTCTCATGTCCTTTGGACAGCATGTTCACCTTCTTGAGATTTAATGAACAAGAGATGACTGTCCTGAGTTTTCTATCCCATATTCTTTGGTTATGGGTGTAAAATGAACTCTGATTTCTGTTCTGGAAGTAAAATAACCTTTGTCATACTCGCATTGGGGATTTAAGTCCATGTATTACTGGACAGACTGCAGACTTTAACTTTGGGATTAGTGGTTTGTCTGTGCAACGTACGGCCAGCTGAACCACATATAAGATACCAATCACGGAAGGTTAATTCCTATTTGTAGATGAGAATTTCTGTACAAGATTTGAGGTTCTCACAGCATTACAATGTTGATATTGGTCTTCTGCGTTGTAATGCTGTATGGGCTTGTATGTAGATTCCATCAGGCCTGAAGATGGAGGCATGATGTTTCTCTGAAATGTTGGTATATACCTGCAAATCCACACAGTGTTAGAAACAAGAAGACCAACATCAGAATTTTTACTCTCTTTGGGAAAAATGCGGAATGAGATTCTTTTAGCAGGAAATGATAATCTTGTCAATATAACTAAAAATATTACTTGATCTCATGCAAGAAATTATTGGTGTTTATAGTCCCATGTTTGCAACGTACATTTCAAGTAATTTTGCTTTTATATAAAGGTAACTTTTTATGCATTAGCCCTCAGAATTCTTTCCAACATAATTATTCAACAGAAAGGATATGTTTTATGTTTGCATGAAATACGTGACATTATTATCATCCACATCGACAATGGAGATTTGCCACTGCGCACAACTATCCCATTGTTACTATGAAAACTAATAATAATAAGAATTTGTTCAGTTGCTGTTCATTAATCTTTAAAGTTTCATTGGCATTGGCAAGTTCAGTTTTATTTTCTGTGAATGATGTCGGTTATGGTTTGTCATCAGGTGTGAACTGAACAAGTTAAGTGTCTTAAAAACGTGAGTTTACTGTGATGGAGTTACGTGCAAAAATCAAATGTTCCGCTGAGTGTTGTACAGTGTAATAAGTGTAACAATAGATGGCAGGGCAGTACACATTTGTTTTGTTTTTAATCGTTCGTATAGCTTGTATTTAATACAACTTAGTGCATATATTTTTGGATTTTAAATGTCGATTACCATGTTTCGAGTTTTCTTTTACATTTCAATGAGAAATGTCTCGTATTTCAATAATTATGCTCATTACGTTAAGACAAGAAATACATGACCTTTTAACACCCATGCATCCCTGAATCGCATGCGCTAAGCGTTCTTCTGTTGTTCGAGATATGCAATGCCGCCAATTGTAAATGGCAGGACATTAATGTAATTGCAAGTTTTTGTCCAAAATTCGACTTCACAACGTTAATTCATTTGGTGTTTATCAAAGTAACATGCCTGTACATCTGCAATTGCTGAAGTACTTTTAGAAGGATGTCACTCTTCTTACATCTGGTTGTATTGGGACAGGTTCGTATTTTAAATAATACTGTAGGCTAGCTTTGTTTGATGGATGGGAAAATATATTCGAGTCATAGGCATATTTTTTATTCTTAATGCGCCACGTTAGACAGAAGTAGAAGTTATTTATATAGTCCCGTAACCATTTTACGATAATATTTCGAATTCCCGTATTTGCAAGTGAATCAGCGTCGTTAAATAACCTTAAAGAAATCGATAAGTAAACAGCGAGTCTGCTCAAAATACCTCCGTGCCCTACAACGCACAACCGAAGACTAATCTGTGCGTTTCACTGTATTAAGCTGCTCTAGGAAAATCTCAACCTCTAGATAACTTGCACCACAATTCAGTAATGCCCTGCTCCAATCTTTAACATTTCAAAGCAAATAAATGAATATATATCCGGTCAGAAGAAGGTTCGTTTTGACTTGGGGTGAAACGTCACGGCCTTGAGTGGAAGCATTATTGATCCATCATCGGTCGCCCCCCCCACTGTGTCGCAAACAAGCATTCCGGCCAGTGGACAAGCAATTTGTTCCGAAGCGAATGAACAGAAATATGTCTGTGCCTGCCATTTTGGTAAGACCAACCTGAGACATAAAAATTTGAGCTCGCCGTGGTAGCCGTATTATGCGTTCTTTGCACTAAACTGACGCACGTACTGTCCGATGATGGCTGTCTTCTGGGTTGTTCGGACGTGTAGTCAGGTAGAAGTTCACCATTCAGAGGTCCTTGCTGCCTCCATCTTCGGGGTCACCGCTGTGAAAACCTCAAATCCTACCACGTACTGTCTGTCCGTTTGAAGCGATGTTCTCGTTGCCATGGATAACGGTTCGTTCCCGTCTTTTGTTTTGTTTCGTTTCTCCTTCTCTCCGCCGTTCGCCGAGTTTCTACGTTGGAATTCGCTGTTCTCCGGTCTATGACGCACAAGTGGCGACGCTGAGCACGTTTATTCCTCGCAATCTCGCTTCTCTCTTCGGTCCACAGGCCGGACTGCGTAAAAGAGGAGACTAGGAGGACACGCCACTGGAGAAGCGGTTTATGTCTTTACAGATATTAAGTTGTTTCGCAAAATTGTGAACGCTGATTCTCATTCTGGAAGTAGACCAACCATTTTCAAGTAATTCCTACATCAAGTACACCCTTCATGACTTGAGACCAGTCATTGAAAAGTCGTTAATTCTGTTGTATGACGTCAGTCCATTTACTTACGATGCTCGTTAAACCTGACATCTCTCGCACAAGAGGACATTTTCATAATTTAATCACGAACCATTTTTCCTCTGGCTCCTTCCATGTTCTGAATCGTCTTCATTGTCCCACGGAGAGCAGTTGATCTCTTCCCGGGAGGGATCTTCGAAACCAGGAGCGGATATCGTTTCTTGTTCTTCTCCGGTCCCTCCCGGTGAGTACCAGTCAATACTGCCCCCTTTTTGCTCGTCCGACGATCAGCGGTGTTCTACATGACGTCAGTGTTCGCTGGAGCTGCTTCGATCAGCAGCTGCAGACCTTGACACACACTCACGGCTTAAAGCTGGACTGTCAGCGTCCGGGTATACACATGACGGATGGCAGAACGAAGGATTCTGGAGGCTTATGATTGCGAGTTTTCGTATTGCATTTTCACTAAAACAGATTTCAGCGATGCTGAATGCCGCCCCTGCATTCGTACGAGCTACTGCAAGAAATTAAGAATCCTTGATCGCCTTAATCCCAGACGCCCACGAATAATACAATTTGTTTTATTTGTGAGGCAGTCCGCCATGTTATGATTAGTTCTGTCAGTTATTTTCGTGCACAAAAATATTTCAGGGAGACTTTTGTGAGAACTTTTAGTTGAAGGGATTGTCATCGGGGCAGATGATGCAACATGCAGCGGAATTTGCGTCTTTACGGCGAGATGAGTTGCATCCGAAGAATCGAAGTGTTGTAAGATTACGAAAACACATAGCGGACAGCCTGGAGTGCATTTGTCGACATTGCCTTTTCTGTTACAGACGTGCGTCGCAGTACCAGTCCAGGTACGCGTAGTCTCCATCGTCAGGGGTCGGTCCTGTCGACGGTGTCTGGAGTGGGCGGGGCCTCCGTCGGCCCGATGGCCGCAGGGGATGCTGGGTCTCAACACCTCACCCCACAGCAGTTCGGCATCTTGGGTGAGTGATGATGTCTGTAGAGTAGCTAATCAGCTGCTCATTTCATCTGTTTTCTGTCTGTGGTTTGCATCCGTGCCGTAGCTCGGGTGCAGGTGAAACTGATAACCAAACACTGACGAATGCAGCAGCGCGCAACCAGGACTCGCGTTCGCCAGAAGACGTGATCTAGTGGTTCAATGTTGCCATGCAGTGCGAAGTTCCGTGTTCATGCCCATCCGCAAATAGGCGTATTTCTCGTCTGGTTTAGTCGGAGGTGACCGGAGTCTCCCTCCGGTCTTTTAAAATCGTTGCCTAACTCTTGGCATCAGCATTGAACGTCCGATGCTGGAATCCGAATGAGAGCTTCACCACTGATGACTTATGGTCGACATAATTACGGCTTACTTTCTAGTGCAAATGGACGGTCTCCGTTCTGCTCTACTAAGTTGTTCTGGGTTTCACGTCGGGCTCAACAGATCCCAGCCCTAGACACGCGATGACCGAGTTCAGAGCATTCAGTTTACGATCCGAAGCCCGGGCTCCTCGTGTTTATTAATTTACGCAGTCAGAGAGCAATTTTTAAACGAGTTAATGGTTTTAAGTGCGCTGTGTCGTCTGTGATTAATGAATTCGCTGCGAGATCTGTAACGCTGATTGGCAGATTAAAAGCGCCGAGCCCCTCCCGCTGTCGTGCAGACGGAAAGAACCAGGGTGTCCAGTTCGTAATTGGTGAAATTATTACCAGCAGTCTTCTCGGTGGAATAGGTTTTGTTTATCGGGATAAACTAGGGGATCGACAGAATCGATCGGGGCGGTGTTTGCACGTGCCGTGCGTGTACCATAAAGCTGTCGTTGCTCAACGTTGCCGTGGCTCTGTCTCAGAAGGCAAACCGGGCCGGTGATTTGTGCTTTCCTGTCGTGTAACCACTTTTTTCTTGTGAGTGTGAGCTAGTACCCGGTTGATGTTGAATGCGGCCCGTGAACAAGGTCACCATTGGAATTCCTCGCCTTTCCTCACTGAAACGTAGGCAAAAACCCGGGAGCATCAATCATTAAACGCGACACCGGTATCTTCTCTCTGTGCTAATTGCGCGGAGCCATTCTTCATGAGCTGACACTCGCTCAGATGGTCGATAAATTTCCCGCCTTTTATGCAAACCTCAAGGTTCCGCCAATGATCCCTCTCCTCCTAGGTCGTCCTTCATCTACTTCTAGGTTTACCAAGATGTATCTTCTGTTCAGGTTTTCTGGATAAAATTTCGTATTGATTTTTAATTTCTTCCGAGCTTGTTCTCTCCTTCTGAACGCCCTAATAGACAGTGGACAGGGCTCCTGATGAAGCTTCTCAATGTGTGTCTCGGTTACTTCCTCTGGTCCTCCAACAGCCTTAGTCAGCGTCGCTCTGTCATGGCGAAACCATCGACCCGAACCTAACCTAATCTTCATGCCCTTTGCACCAGGTAATATAAACGAGGCGCTCATATAATTTCGTCACAAAATAAATTCATGTTTAAATCGGGCCTTTTTTTACAATTGAAGATCGCTATCTTCTGCAACTTAACTGTACGACGAAAGATTCACCTGTTGACAACGGCCGACCCTTCAAGGAAGACAGCGCACCAGGTAAATAGCGAGGCGAAGTGCGTGTCGCGCGGTGTTCCTCACAACAACGCTGCTTTGCGACTCGTCCAGAGGGGACGTTCGTGACGCTGTCACTTGGTTCCATCTTGCTGGAACAACAAACCCAGTGATGAATCTGAAAGGACACGGGAGTGCTGGTCACAGCCCGTACACGTTAAGAAAAGACACGCACTTTCGTGAAGTAGACCCATCCCATTACGTATCATTCAACGAGACCTTAAAAGAATTCCAGTTCCCTACGTTTGAAGATCAAACTGTCGATTCAAGGTCATTCTTCGTGCTCTTTCGTTACCTCGGCCCCAGACTCAAAGCTCAGATGTGGAGTGACAGAGCTTTCGCAGACAACTGGTGCTTCTTCAGGTGTCTAGTATATTCGACTGCTTGAATATTACTTATTCTTCTTCTTCCTTCGAAGATGTAGGCCCATTTGACCAATTCCGAGGTACACGTTTTATGCCCGGGCGTCCGATGGATATTCTTCAATGTCATGTATCGCTTTGTTAACCTCAGATTCCGCGTGTCCTCACTTCGCCGTCTGCTTCCGGTCTGCGCAAACCTGTCGTCTTTATCAGGAAATGGACTTGTGCGGTGACAGACGAATGACGATTTACGTCGATTCGCCATGAAACAGCTTCTAATTGCGTTCCTCCAGCGACTGGCAAGGGATCTAAGGCTCGTGGTGGTTTGTTTATTGACGCCGTCATAAAGCCCCGATAGGTAGGCAGGGTACGTGTGTTATGATCTTAAACTGCTCCAGTTCCACATGGAGATTGATGTGCGTTTCGCTGTAATTTCTCATATCCTGCCTCGTAGTCGGTATTGCTCAGGGCCACTGCTGTCATGTGAGCGAGAGAGAGAGGGCACTCATTTGATTGGTTCGTTGATTAAGAATTTCCATCGTTACATATGAGTACGCCTACTTAAAATGTGTTCATGAGATTTAAAATTATTCATTGTCAGGACTTTTTCCACCGTCTGTTCTTTAAAATCACGACGTTTCGGAGGCTGGTTCTGTCTCCGTCTTCAGGTGAGAGGTACCTACTCTGTTGGGTCCCTTAGATAGAGCTAGTCTCTGTCTCTGTCACGTCGTGATTTTAAAGAGCAGACGATGGAAAAAGTCCTGATAATGAACAATTTTAAGTCTAAACTACCGTCGTCAAAACCCTTTAGAATTGTTCATGAGATTATGTGATGCTTGATTTTTTTTTAATTTAAGAGAATGCGTCATAATCCATGCCATGTGATGTGCTTTGGTAAAGGAAACAAGATTAATCCTTAAGACTCTCTTCTAATCGTCATGTTCTGAAGAAACAAAGCTAATACAGTGGGAATACTAACTGAACTAGTCCTGTCGTCAGTATAAAAAAAAAAAGTAGGGCTCGTCCGGGATTTGAACCCGGGACCTCTCGCACCCTAAGCGAGAATCATACCCCTAGACCAACGAGCCGCGTTCTGTGGCGCCTCACGGCTCGTACTTCAACACTCCGTGGATCTGTGCAGTGCGAAGTCTCGGCGTCACGGTCCCTTAGCAACCAGATCAGAATTAATGACTGCATTCGTAAGATAAATTCCGCAGAACAAAGCCGAGCGGAATGGACTCTGCGTGTGCTTCTGGAACATTGGCAATCGCGCGTGACTCATGAACGCGGAATGTAAACTCGCTCAGGTACACAGACTTTCTGTCCAGCTCGAACGAGCCTGGTTCGGCACGTTTTCCTCGTTATCTGCCTCCCGAGTCAACACACATCTTCTTCGCCAAGGAATTTTCGGTTGAGACATTTTAAATTGGACAGTAACGCCGCTCGCAATCTGCTGAAGACACTGCAGCCCCATAGTTTGACGTTTTCCACTAACCTGAACAGTTGTTCGCAGACGAGACTGCCAAATACTGACGATATTAACATAACGCGTTTCCTGATATCGGGTAACTATTTTCATCACACAGTGACAAGTTTTTCAGCGAAGGTATTCGGGTTACGAGTGCAGGACGCCTGGCTTATGGTAAAACAATGATTGAACACAAGCGAACGAGGTAGAATGTGCGTGGTGACACCCATCTGCATTGTAGTGGCTTGTCTGTATGCGCGTGGTATTTAAGAAGGAATTTGGGCTATGTGAGATTTGGGGTTCTCGCGGCCGTGGGGATGTCGATCCTGGTTTCTGGGTTCTAACGCCCTGTGGACTTGCAAACGTTTCGGAGGAACACGCCGAGGCCTCAAGACCCAACAGCTCTTTTCTCGTGGTTCTGTTGCGAGCCTCGAACCCTGCATGCCAACAAACCGTGCTGAAGGAGGCTGCCGGTCGGCGACCTCGTGGCGTGACAACTCCTTCATGACTCGGCGGCATTCCAGTGGATCGCAGACACAAACTCCGCACTGTTGCTGGACACATAATGTTCTTAGTTTGCCCAGAACATTTCTGGCCGCAGTTGCACGTAAGCGCCGAAGTTACGCGGTGCGTGGGTCTTCAATTGCTTCTCCGGCGATATTCGAATCCATCCCTGATTGCAAGGAACACAACTGTGTTCACTTCTCGTTAGCACGTGAGTGCGAGTGAGATTGGACTTTGGATTGCGAGAGGAAGACGATGGCGACGGGTGCCTGAGCTGCACGAGGCCGGTTGGCCTTCGATGAATTCTTGCATCGGGATCCTCCTTTTGTCTTGTGTGTGTTCGAGATCTCCTGTTCTTATTTCCCGCACTTAAATTTGGAAATAGACCGGTTCACCTCGATACTTTCCCCCCCCCCCCCCCC